CTCCAGCACGGATGAGTCTGAATATAAAACTGACACATAAGTGTGCGTCTTCTAAATTGGACTTGAATTACAAATACTAATATAGACGGATTTTAATTTAAAAAGACGACCTTATTTTGATCGCAGTCGATCGCTATCAATGCACAGATATAAAGCACAATATGTGTGATGGCACCCGTGGGTTGGTATGTATGAATACAGCTACAACTGTTGTACATCGTAGTTGTAGACAACTAATATAGGGTATTCGTCTAAATCTTGTTAGGCTGATAAGGAGCGATTATTTCACGACACGAGGATAATACACCTGAACCATTAATTTATATTTTTTTTTTACCCATCGAATGTAGTTTATGTGCTTTTAATACTACGTCTGTATATATTACACGCGTCGATGTTTAACTTTTGCTCATATATATATATATACTTCTGACAGCTGGTATCATTTGTCTTGAACACTTTCTCGCTGCAAGCTCTGTTATCTGCAGTGTGTATGCGTTTTTGTCGGGCCATAAGTTTCCGCGTACGAATTGATCCAAAGCTTTACCGGCGAACGCTGATTGTACGTGCGATAGTGTGTGCACGTGCCATAATGTAGTCAATAAAAAGTTTTCACGGTTTTTGGTGTACTTAAAGAAAAACTATTTATCAAAAAAAAAAATACACCCTCTCTTCAGACCGACAAATCTGATTGCATCGGCTATTAAATTGTTATACCTGAGACCGGTGACTCGTGACCTTCCAAACGCATTTCAACCGTTACCAGTAACCACGTCTCTGTTAAGTACACAACAACCCGGATGCGAAGGTTTCAGTTATGTCCAATGACTAATTGCTATAGTTCTATTATATTGTTATCGACTCGGACACTTACTGTTGAAATACAATTGCGCTGCTGTCGACGCGATAAAATATAATAATCCATCACGACAACACTATGGGTTGATGTTAACATGCACGGTTTATGCCAGGTTGACTTTCCCGAATCCCATCAGATGTTAGCTGAGTCACGGGCAGTAAAATATACCGAAAATGCCAGCACATGAGATCATTTCTGCTGTACGAACGTGTTGAATTACAAATATTGCAAATAAGTAGTAGAAACAGAATTTTATGAATTATTACAACTGAAAGAGATCTATAATAATTTAATTCCGTTGTTACCCGTGTATCGTAATTAACATAGTAAATAAAATATCTTCAAAAGCCTGTTGACTGTCGTTCACTCGCACATAACAATCAATAAATATACTACGGGCAACGTGTTATTTTCACAACTACGCCTAAAAAAGCGAAAAAATAACAATTTTCCACTCCTTCTAAGGGAAAGGGTTATTATGATATTTCTTTGGTTTGTCAACGTTTATCGAGTTACGGAAATAAATATTTACATTTTCCTGGTGTTTATGACGATATTGAAGGGGTTGGGAGTGAACTTTTCTAATTTTTGGCCCAAAGAAGTACCTTACGGTTCCTTATCTACTTACAGACATGAAGAAATCGGTTGAGCGTTTTAAAATATATCGTGGATCCAGACACAAAAAATAAACAATAATAAGAAATAAAAATACAATACATTACGTTATACAAAATATATAGGTGTGTACTAATCTTTGGAATATTGGATCTATATTCTATACCGCTCGCCCGAATCTCTCGTGTGCGTCGACAATATGGTTAGGTGAATTTTATACGAAAATCCGATTATTATCCGCCAAAACTTTCTTCTGTTACACACTTTAAACTTTCTATGCGGTTAAATCAACCGCGACCACTAAATGCAGAAACATTCTAATTAATTAAGCAGCAAAAAAACAAAAAAAGTTCCCTATTTATGTACAGCGCGTTTTCGATTTCCTTTTCCGAAACTTTATAACGCTGCGGTTGGAACGCTATAAATTATCGTTTAATGAACAAACCGATAGTTTGCCACTTCCAAGCAATATACAACGGGTTGCACGCGTTTAATTGAAATATTAAATAACGCAGTAATACCTCTAGCCATTGTTATAAACGACCAACTTTTACAGTGTAGTAGTAAAGTAAACGGTAAACACAGTTGTTGGTGAGTTTACACTGTAATTTGTCGTATCGACCCCAACAGTGATTTGCAGTAAACACACACGCCTTGGGCGTTTCCGAATATTCATTTCGATACCCGGAAGTTCCGTAATCCGGTTTTGGGTCCGAAGTAAGTAAGCTTTTTGGGCAAGTAAATCGTGAATAGGCAAATGTTCCCCAAAATAATTACACTAACATGTCGGTTTCGCGGTCGCAGACGTCGAAATCGACAACACTAACAATATTATGTCTTCGCTCGTCCATTAAAATACGTTTTTAACATACATAACAATATTATTACAACAGTGTAATTGTATTGAAATAGCATTATCAAGTTTAATAAATAAAACAAAACAATACCTATACATTTTGACTCTGTTCTTCTAAATATTTCGTTTAGTTTTGTACGTTAACTTTTAAAAGTCAATCAGTATACTTATAACTTACCCGTTCAAAGCATAATGATGTAATGAAAACAAAATCATAGTCGATAAACGGATAAAACATTTGTTTTAACCTCTAAAATAAATGCTTCGATGCGAAACTGTAAGTGACAGCTATATTAAATACCGGTAAAAGCATGGTTAAGACAATAATGTGCTTAAAATTGTATTTTTAGTGTTGTAGGTCTGTCTGTAATAGTCCATTGTTGATTTTACACACACACAAATATACATTAATTCATTTTTGGGTACAATTTCTGATCTAAAACGAACGCTATGCGACATCGATAGTATGCCAAGAGTTAAGATTGAATTGGCAAAGTCTGCAAAGTCGGAAATTAAAATGTCCTGATCGTTAAGTACCGACAAAGTGGGGTTAGTGTTTTCAATGCTTGCTATGTACCTAAAATATGATCGCCTCTTACATTGCCCCGAGTATATATTCTTTCAAAATACATAACTACCATCGAAGTGCGAACCTCTTAAACCGTTAAACGTGTATGATAAAATCGCTTATTACTTCTTCCATTTTTAAATATTGAATTATATACAATACAACAAATTCAATACATTTTACACAGTGACACAAAATATGTAGAATAAGTTTACAATAATATATGTACACAATTAAAAAACACATGAACACAATAAATAACAAATTATGGTCTCCTCGGACCGTTTACACCGTATTTATAGGTTTTTTTTTTTTTTAAAGATATTTCTAGCCAGCAATTCATTTTTAATTTTATTTTGTTCAGCCCAGTTAACGTTTGATAAATAAATAGAAAAATGGAGAACAATCATGTAAATTAGATTATTTAAAATACACGTGTTAAACGAACGGCATAAGCAACTTTTTTTTAATTGCTGCTAGTGTAAAGACCCGGACAAAAGAGATATTGTCACCCTAATGGAGTTCATTCAGTAACTATTTATTACTATTTATATAAATTTTACATTTATTGTACCTGACATGTTAATTAATATATTATTGATAAAGAAACAGCATATAAATGTATTATTTATTAAAACCAAGGAACCAAGCCAAGACGTCATACTATGGAGTATGACATGATATTCTATCAATAAAATGATTTATAGAATCTCTCTAAAAAAATATAGTTTAAAAAACTAAAAAACACGCTTAAATAGTAAAATAAACTAAAAAGTAGAAAATAATTTTCAATATAGAAATCAATTAATAAAAAATAAATAGTATTATTGTGAAAAAAGTGTGGGGCGCTTTTCAAGAACTGATATATGTAGCACCCCACGCTTTTTTCACAATAATAATATTTATTTTTTATTAATTGATTTCTATATGAAAATTATTTTCTACTTTTTAGTTTATTTTACTATTTAAGCGTGTTTTTTAGTTTTTTTAAACAATATTTTTTTTATTTTCCACTTTTTAGTTCGATGTGCTTTATTAGTTTTTTTTAAACTATATTTATTTTCCACTTTTTTAGTTCGATGTGCTTTAAAATCGTGTTTTTTAATTCTAGTACATACGTGTCTCTATTACTTCAAAAAATTCAGGTAAACAACAACGAATACACGCATGTACGTTCGGTTGCCTATCTCTTTTAGTTACATAGTTACATACAAACATACAAACATGCTTACACACATACATACATACATACATACATACATACATACATACATACATACAAGTGAAGCTAATATAAGCGTGTTAAAAATAGCAAAGGCTTTAATTAAAAACAAGAAAATCATAAATATTGCACTCATAATTTTTTATTTTGATAAAATATTTTAAATTGGTAAAAAAAAATATATAATATATTATGATACTAATAATTATTCGAGTAAAATAGTATTTTAAATACAATAATAAAAATAATAATAATTACCTTACAGTATAAAATAAATATTGATGATTTGTATTAACATACATTTCACCAACTTAATGACATTATTGTTGATCGTACTATATGAATCAATTAGGTAGTATAATAAACACAATTTACATAAAACAACGAAAGAACGTGTGCAGTGAACTAAGTGGCCGCATTTAAAGTTTTAAGTACAAGTATTTTATAACCTATACAAAAAAAATAATAATTAGCTCATCATTTTACATATCTTTAATTGTACATAAAAAATAATTGCGTTTTCCACAACAATAATCACCGTCATGTCTTTTTTTAATTATACATATTTTTATAATATTAGGTAAAATTGAACAGAAGCTCTTGTAGGCATTTTACAAATAATTTTCGTTTTTAAATTGATTCATTGTAAAAAAAAATTAATGACATCAAGTTTTAAAAAAAGTGTTCATAGTGCTAAAAATGCTAATGAAATATTTTACATTACAAAATGTCATTAAACATTTTAGTTATATTGAATATATCAAATTCTAAATAGAAGTAATTATATAAAGTAAAAACTATTAAATAAGCTGGATGGATTTTTATCCGAAAAGACTTGGAGTAAACTGCAAAATGGTAGTTTAACAAATATAATAATTCTCAATAATAATTTTTATAAAAGAACTTTTAATGAGTTTTATACATTAAAAAGGAAAGCCAATAAAATACGTTTATCGAATAACCATAAATACATTTTTGTTCATTAATGTGTAAAATTTCTAGGAGCAAATTCAGTTTAAAATTTAAACACTAATTAGTAACTATTTATAAAATTTAAGTCACAGCTTTAGTGTAATTATTATTACAAATCAAACTTTGTACGTAAGATTTAAATAATTTATTTCAACATAAATTTCAATTAATAAAAAAAAATGAATTTTTGCAGATTTTTAAATACAATAAAATAAATGTATACTTAAAACACTACTAAATTATTAAGTAAAGTATAAAATAATCAAAATATTAATTATTTACTCAATATCTTTTAAGTAGTTTTGTTGGTATTTTTTTGTTTTTAATCATAAAGATGTTGATGTTGAAGCATCTGTTTGTTGGGATTGGTTAAGAAACGCAACATTAGAAGCTTTAAGTCTGGCAGCATTTCCTCTAGATATTATTGTTCCTGGATATGGCGATATACTCGGTGTGGAACAATGACTGTTACTTAAATCACATTGATCCAGTAACCGCAATAGTTCTTCAGCTGTTGGACCTCCATTCGGAATCGGTTCTATAAATATAAGAAGTACATTTGTTTTTAAAAGATAAATATTGTATTAAAATCATTTATATTAGAAAAATCCAAATTTAATTTAATTTACTCCGTTATACATAATTAGATACTATATAAATGTGCAGACCCGAGCCGAGGGAAAATGTTTTAAATGTATACTTAACGCACTAGCATGTAACATACATGGCCAGGCCCTGTGAATTTGTATATTGACAAATACACTACAAAGAATTCTAAAGCTGCATAATTAGATGCAATTATTACACTTTATAATGGATTTTTCCTAGTTAAGAATAGCAAATATAATAAGAGCACAAAATGTATTATATACAAGTTAAATTGGAATAATTATGTGTCATTATTATATTATTTCAATTTATGAAATCTAAATATTATAATTAACGGTGTGTATCACAATCTAATTTTACACGTATTTTAACATGCAGTTATCAGTTCATCATGAATCATGATACACTTTGTATTTATATTCCTAGCCTTAACCCATAATGTCTTTTTATTAACAAGATATGTTATGTTAACATGTAAACGGTAACCCTCGAATAGAAAGCAGTCAACATTTAAAAATATGGTACAAAAGAAAAAAAACATTGGACATAATGTGTTAAACTGATGATTTAATAATGTTGCTTACGAAGTGACTTATTTGCCAGATCTAAAGCAGTTGTTAAATCCCACATTTGCAAAGTTCCGTTGCAATGTCCTGTAAGTATAAATCGTCTTGGTCGAGATCCCATACGACTAGAACCTTCACATTCATGAACACAAAAACACGTGATAATTGTGCAATCCACAGCTCGAATTATACAAACTCTGAAATATAAAATTAGTTAACTTCTTCAAACTATTAAACTTAAATCACAAAAAATATTTAACAATTTTTATACTGATGGTTACAAGCAGTGGTGTATTTACATCTGTGATCACCTCAATTTTTATAAATATATATTAATCTTCTCGTTAAACTAGGAGTTTTGGACGAAATGTCACAACAAAAATTATATTTCATAAATAATTTCATTATAATATTAGCTAAAGTACTATATTTTTATAATAAAAGTATAACAATCTAAATTTTAATAATTTTTTTTTTCAATTAACACACGTTTTTTTTAGAAAAATTTGTTTTTCCTTGATAATTAAACTTTTAGAAATCGATACAAAATATATTTTGTCCAATTAAAACTTAAAAACAAGAAACAATGTAGATAAACAAACTATTTTCTTTAAGAAATAGTTAACCGTTTTTGGTCTGACCATAAGGGCAAGATTTATAAAAAGGGGAATATTTTTTGTTGCATATCACTTCTAAGAAGAAAATTGTAAATATACCACTGATTACAATGCAAAAAGGACATTTAAAATGTATCAGCTATAACTATTAAAGTAGTTTTTAGTCACAATAAGAACACACATATAAACACATTTTTCTTGATAAAAAATAGTAAAAATTTTCATAAAAATAAAAAACCATTGCTATATCAATTTAGAAACACACAAAATATATACATTTTTGAAAACTAAGAACAATACTTCCAGCCCTTTTTGTTTTTTAACCATAATTACTTTAAATGATATATTATGCATACCTCTTTCCATTGGATGCTAACCGAACAAATAGCTCTGAAGTTTCTGGCATGACTTTTTGAACAAATACTTGTTCATCATCTTGTTCACCATATGGACCTAAAGTATAAAATTAAATGTATTATACACTATGAATTTTACTATTATTGAATTTCAATTAGTTTAATAAATAATTATATATCTTACCACAGTCGTTACCAGCACAATAGCTAATACATGGTTCAACTTCTTCCAGGGACAATATTTTAAATGAAGCAACTGGTGTAGAACCAGGTTGAGTAGAAATCATACCTCGGAATCGGGTAACACTCCATGTTCTTACATGGTTGTATTCACTACAAACAGATACAAGGAATTTTTCTGATAATGTTACCTAAAACAAAATGAATAATCATCATTATTAGTCAACACTACATTGAACACACTAGCAAAATAAAGATATACCTTAGTTACAGAACTTTGGTGTACGGTGAATGTTTGAAACAACTGAGGGCCATGTCCAACGGTTTCTGGATGTTGTACAATTACACGTACTGTACCAGAACTCGTACCATAAGCTATTTCTATCCAATTTCCACTTACACCTGCAATCATTGAATATAGTATTATTATATAATCAATTGGATTTATGGGTAGGACAAGATGGGATGTCAGTCGAAGTGTGATAATATTAATGGGCCGTGGCTATATAAAAATCATCGAAGAAAAGTGAGAAATTATTCAAGGCTTCTCTTAAACATAAACCTTAAGGGTGTCGTAAGAAGGGAAAAAAACAATTTTTTAATAGATAACCATCTATCGAAAAACTATTAAATTGATAGTTAGTAAGAGAGTGTCATCGCTTTCTATGAGGCAATCGATAGAGATAAATATTATTTACACCCTTTTACAGTATTACATACTATATATAAACCCATATTTCCGGTGGCAGTCAATAGATAACATAAATAACAAAGTTGATTAAGAAGCATAATAAATTTAATGCTTTCTAAAAGTGTATTTTGTTTAAAATTTTATATCATTGCATTTTGTTAGTAGACATATAAATAAACAATAATGTTTTTTTTAGTAAAAGATTTTTATAAAGCTAGTACCATTTTGAGCCTCAACTCCCCTTTCAAGCCAACATATTATTTTAAACAAAAATTATTGGAATGATCACACATTTCATTTCCTAAATTAATTTTAATCATGTCAAACTATATACAAATATATTATGTAATATGAGCTATATTTTGGCCTTGAATAAATGGACTATACAAATATATCGTTTTTAATTGAATGGCGTTATGTAGAAAGCAACCAACCCACAAAAATAAAAAATCGAGATTTTAGTTTAACTAGCGTAGTATACACGTACTGTGCCAGAACTCGTATAGTATACACTATACCACACTAGTTAAACTAAAACCTCGATTTTTTTTTTTTTTTTGGGTTGGTTGCTTTTTGCATAACACCATTCAATTATAACTATTAGTTACAACTAATCCATCCATCCATTAAACTAAGAGTTTAATGGATGCATGGATTTTAAACAATTAATAAACATAATGAACTGATTTGGTAGTTAAATATCATACATAAACATGAAATACAAATATTTATTTAAAACACCATAATCTACTAAAAAATTAGTAAACCAATTTTATTTTAAATTTAGATTGTGTAGTTGGGTTAGGTTACGTTACTTTTAAAACAAGCCATATTATAATCATGACAAGTGAAAAATTTACGTATGGAATTATATGTGTACACAAGTGTCACAAAACACAATGTTTATATAAATTGAATATTCCTCTAAAAATTCAAGTTAGCATACCACGTTTGCGTTAGTTTGTTGCTAGCAATTATTAAGTGCGACGTATGCAATCAATCATGCAATCAATTTTACTCTTTTTATTGTTCCTTTTTTTTCAAGTAAGTGTTCAACTAATAATGATATTATACTTTTTATTATAATTTGCATTATCATTGTTTATAGGTAATACGGTCGCAAAATTATGGAACACAACAATCTGTTAATGATCCATATAAAACTAATACTGGAATATTTAATTTTAATAACATTTTAAGAAATGGTTTAGCAACAGGAGTATCAACAGTAGAAACAGGTTCTAACATTTTGCAACAACCATTAAGAGCAGCAACCAACCTATTTCAATATGCTCCTGAAAGTGCAGCAAATATACAACCGGGACAATACAATGAGAATCCATACAACAGTTCCCCATATAATGAAAATTTAAATCCTATTCAACAAGGAATAAATACTGCGACATCCAATTTTAATAACATTATGGGAGCTGGTTTAACATCAGGAATAAATGCATTAGAAGCCGGAGCTAGTATTCTACAACTACCATTACAAGCAGCAACAAACCAATTTCAATATGCTCCTGAAGGTGCAGCAAATATACAACCGGGACAATATAATGAGAATCCATACAACAGTTCCCCATATAATGAAAATTTAAATCCTAATCAACAAGGAATGAATGCATTAAAAGCCGGAGCTAGTATTCAACAACTACCTTTATATGCAGCAACAAACCAATTTCAATATGCTCCTGAAGGTGCAGCAAATATACAACCGGGACAATATAATGAGAACCCATATAACAGTTCCCCATATAATGAACATTTAAATCCTAATCAACAAGGAATGAATGCATTAGAAGCCGGAGCTAGTATTCAACAACTACCATTACAAGCAGCAACAAACCAATTTCAATATGCTCCTGAAGGTGCAGCAAATATACAACCGGGACAATATAATGAGAACCCATATAACAGTTCCCCATATAATGAACATTTAAATCCTAATCAACAAGGAATGAATGCATTAGAAGCCGGAGCTAGTATTCAACAACTACCATTACATGCAGCAACAAACCAATTTCAATATGCTCCTAAAGGTGCAGCAAATCTACAACCGGGACGATATAATGAGAATCCATATAACAGTTCCCCATATAATGAAAATTTAAATCCTATTCAACAAGGAATAAATACTGCAACATCCAATTTTAATAACATTTTAAGAAATGGTTTAGCAACAGGAGTGTCAACAGTAGAAACAGGTTCTAACATTTTGCAACAACCATTAAGAGCAGCAACAAACCAATTTCAATATGCTCCTGAAGGTGCAGCAAATATACAACCGGGACAATATAATGAGAATCCATATTATAACAGTTCCCCATATAATGAAAATTTAAATCCTATTCAAAAAGGAATAAATACTGCAACATCCAATTTTAATAACATTATGGGAGCTGGTTTAACAACAGGAGTAACAGCTTTAGGAGGAGGAGCTGATATATTGGGTCAACAATTAAATGGAGCTACTAACTTAGTACAAAATATTCCTAAATTTACATCAAATGGTATTGATTTTCTACAAAATATTGGTCAAACCGGAACAGATATGACAAATAATGTCCTGAAATTATCAACTGCACCAATAGTAGCTAAACTTAACAAATTTGGTAATGTCCTAAATGGATTCTCAAGTTATTCAGATCCACAGAATCAAATAGATCAGTCTAATAATATTCAAGTACCAAGTATGAATTACGAACATAGATATTAAACAACTTTTTAATAATTACATATTATAAACTAAATAACATTATAATTCTATTAACTATAATAAATAAAAGGCAATTAATTTAACTTCTTCTTTTTTTTTGGTAAAATTTTATATACCAGTCATAATAAATATCTTTTTGTTTGTACTAATTTCATTTTAAAAATATTTATTATACATACAAACATTTTAAGTATCTTATATATATTTTATATTCAGAATAAGAACAGGTTTCGGTGGCCGACTTGTGCGCATGGGCATGGCTTTACTACGAGCAACGGACCTCGAACACTGCCGCCGGTGGGGCTACAGACGAAATGTAAAATGGGCGATGCCTGACTGCCGCCTGACGAAAACTCGTCGGCTGCCGAAGCCTGTTCTTATTCTGAATAGAGTATGGGTATGTATGAATATATTAAAGACACTAGAATTTTGAAAAATTCTTAATAAAATGTATTGTTATTATTTTTATCACAACTATTATTGTCAATAATTTTAATTGAAAGATAAGATTTGGAATTTTGTATAATTTATTAATAAATAAATACAATTGCTGACTTTTAATTACTTAATGGTGTGTAACGACTAGGAAGGCTTAACATTTGGTAAAATACAATTTAAGGTCAATAAAATATAGATTTAATATGAATACTCAGAAATTTCTATCATTAATTCTACATCTGATTTAGAGTTTAAAATATTAGATTTTTCTAGTTAATTTCCTGAAATAATATTTTTATAAATTGAACTTACTTGTTTTAGGAGTTAAGTATACTGAAATAGCTGTGATGGGGTCATTTGATGGATCTTTATAAAGTTCTGTTACTAAAAGGTCGTTGTCCTTCATACGCAATGGAAATTTTTGCATATCTAAAAATACATTATTTGCTATAGATTACACTTATTAAAGTTACAAATATATTTAAAAAAAATATTTTGTACCAATATAATAAATAGAACCATTATTACACCCAAGTAATAAAAATGAACCAGCCGTATCAAATGAAGCAATTGGTACAACATCTTGAGTTTGCCAATGTTGGGTCATCGCATGCCACACTCCAATTTTACCAGTAGGAGATAAAGCAACTAATTGACTACCAATAAAAAATAAATGTTCCACTCGGACATTTAAATTAAATGTACCTATAATTGATAATTATAAAATGATCATATGAATATTTAAAAATTACAAATGTATAAATCTAAGCTATATATATATATGGTACCAATATTTGTTCGAGATCCTTGTTCAGATACGCCCCAAAGGCGTACTTGATTTCCATAAGATATGGCGACCATAACTGAAGAACCATCAGAATTACCATTTTGACTGTTCATCTTGGCATTGATTGCAATTCGTTCTATACAATTATCTATATGTGGCGACAAGAAACCTTGTTGCCAACCACTTGAGTCTTTTAATCTGCAAATATAAGTACAATTTTAAAATGAATGAATTAAACACCATTTACATTATTTATTAATTATTAATTTCATTACTATTTCTTATAATACTTCTAATTATTATATTGTTACCTATAACAAACTATAAAATGAGCATAAGCCACAACTATCCAATTATGGTGAGCTTTGATAATTTGAACACGTAATGGATCTGCCCAGTTGGAACCTTGGTTGTAACCGAATACCAGGTTTAAAGCATCATTTCTAATATATTTATTGAGATCGGCAGATGAAGTCCTGGAATGATGATTTGGTACATGACTTCCTAAAGATGCAGCTCTGGAATGACCACTATTACCGTTACCACGTCCATTAATTACTGATCCACGACCATTTACAGTAACTCTTGATATATCCAAAGAAGAATTTCGAGAATGACATCGACTAGAAATATAAAACAATAATAAATATATTCTTTGAGTTTAACTTTAAAATTAAAAAAATTTAATCAATTTTACCTTTGGTAGCCATGAGTATGAGGAATTGATGATGGAGAATTAGGCGGTGGTACAGGTTCTGGAACTCGAACAATTGAACCTGGTCTTGTTTGATCATCTACTTTAGCAATACTGCAAGCCGTTTCCGATTCTTGAGTGGGAGGGTCTTAAAATGTCATACTTGTATTAAAATAAAATAAGAAACAATTTCTGTTACATAGCAATGGCAAACTTATATTTCTGTGTAACTAGAATTGAGTTTAAATTGAGTTTACAAAAAACTAAATGTAATAAAATATTGTTTTATAAAAAAAAACATATTTTATGAAAAATATTTCTCACTTGGTGCTGGTAACATGCTATAAAACAGAATATCTCCACATGACGACTGCTCTAAATCTTCACAAAGAATCAGTCGCTTAACTAAAGGTGTGATGCCATAAAATTCCGCTTCATGTCTCAATGTTCTGATATCGGTACCCGATAAATCAATATCGTGAGTTCTTAGATAGTTTAAAATGATTGCAAACACTTTTGGGTCACGATCTATGAATATTGCTCCAGTATCATCACGCAAACTGGATATTCGTCCACTTAATAATGCTGTAAAAAAAGAATCTGGCACCCACGTCAACGTTTGTCTAGATGTTGAGAACCTAAATATTAAAATATGTTTTATTCGTAATTATTATTGATAAATTCATGTTAAATATTCTAATTTTAACATTAATTATACAAAAAATAAACTAAGTATATAAATACATGAATAATTAACAAAATTTAAAATATTAAATTTACCTTGTACCACCAACATTAAGATGCATTATTTCACCATTGTGTGGAGGCAACATAGTTAGAAAATATCTGTTTATATTTTTATAAAAAAATAGTAATTATATATATCTGTAAAAAAAAAACATTTTGTTAGATAAACATGTATATGTTTGATAATTGTACTATATTTACTGCAACCATTTATTTAAAAATTAAGAAACTAATTATGTAATCTAAAAAAAAATAAGAGACCAAATAAATTATAAGTTGATTTGATTATAAATTGTTTAAACACATTTTTGGTCAAAATGTGTTTACTGTATAATTTGAAAAAGATTTTTTTTCTGGCAAAAATTTGGTAGGTAAAATAGTACATATTTTAGCCTATTGGAAAACAAAACAAAATTATTTTGTAGGTACTGAAATTAAATATAAAGGATACCTAAACTTTAAAATGATCACTTGTAAAATTGTTATTTTATATTTATATACAACATTTTTAATAGTTATCGAATTATAACTAAATACCGGTTAATTAGAACAAAATATTATTATTTATTAGTCTCCTCTGTACAAATTGGTAACAAATTAGTCTTACAAATGAGTAATATTATATAAATAATTTAAAATTATTAATATAATTAATATTATTGTATTAAATTGTACCTGATGATAGTTTTTATTATAATAAAATTACAATAACAGACGTGGATGAAATTGGTTAGGGATTGAAACAAATTGACTTAATTTGATAATGAACTTTACTATTCTTAAAACTAATTTAATACACAAAATAACTTCAATAGCATTACGCTTCTTCAGAAGTCATAACTATTTAACTAAATGATAAGTGATTACCATTTACCTACCTAAAGTTAAAAGGTTTGTATCCATTACTTATTAGCTAAAAATATGGTACGTAGGAATTTGAGACAATAGGCATATAATTTTTTTTTTTTGTAGAATTCGAGATAAGAAAATATTGATAAATGATAACGTGATGTCAACAACTTAGTCGACATAGCACCACAGAATAATCTGTGATACCAAGTAGATATATCGTATATTGTATACAATTAAATCGAGTCTCATTCCTAGTTGATACCATTTTTGAATTGATTTTTTATAAATTCTTAATAAATAATTCCACCTAATTACAAAAAATAAATTCAAAATGCAAAAGTACGAAAAATTAGACAAAATTGGAGAAGGTAAGCTAACATTTAAAAAGATGTGTATTTCGTTTAATGTATATTGTATAATTATTATTATCAACAGGGACATATGGTACAGTATTCAAAGCTAAAAATCGAGAAACACTCGAAATAGTGGCTTTAAAACGTGTAAGACTAGATGATGATGATGAGGTAATGCTTCAACTCGTTGAGTAATTTTAAATATGATATTTTTAAGTAAAATTATTTATAGGGAGTACCATCATCAGCACTTAGAGAAATTTGCCTGCTAAAAGAGTTGAAACATAAAAATATTGTCCGTCTTTATGATGTTCTTCATAGCGATAAAAAGTTAGTGCTGGTTTTTGAACACTGCGATCAAGATTTAAAAAAGTACTTTGATAGTTTAAATGGAGATATAGATCCTAATGTCGTCAAATCATTTATGTAAGACATTTATTTTTTGTATTATTACAAATTATAAGTGTACATTTTATTAATTTTTTAATAATGTCGTAAATGGTAGGTTCCAGTTATTAAGAGGATTAGCGTTTTGCCACAGCCACAACGTCTTACATCGGGATCTAAAACCTCAAAATTTACTTATAAACAAGGTAAAAATTTTCACAATATTTAAATCGTATGTAACAATTTATTATTGAGTATGTTCTATAGATATTTTTGAACCAGTCCTTGAAGTTAATTATAAATACATTTTTACTACCTGAATCACTAACTTCTGAGAAGGAACAGGTTCACTTTTTCTAATTGTTTATGAAAGACAAAAAACTAAGTATTGACATGACCCTTGTTTGTTGTAAACTGTAATTTCCGAATGCTCTATTTAATGTTTCGACAGTCTTATTTTACTCCTTTCTGCAATTAGCGATTTACCTTTACAAATTTTAGTTTCCAAACTAAAACGCGGTACCAATAAAAACTCAATATTATCTGTTTCATCTCGGCTTAAATATGTATATCAATGTACATATTTATGGAAATTGATAACAAAATGTGTTATATTATAGAATGGAGAATTAAAATTAGCAGATTTTGGTTTAGCGAGAGCATTTGGAATACCAGTTAAATGTTATTCTGCTGAAGTAGTTACTTTATGGTATAGACCGCCAGATGTCTTATTTGGTGCTAAACTGTATACAACTTCTATAGACATGTGGTCTGCTGGATGCATTTTTGCAGGTAATTATATTTGTATTTCACTTAAATCATTTTGATAAATTTACTTAAATATATTTAAATGAATTATCTAGAATTGGCCAATGCTGGTCGCCCATTGTTCCCCGGTTCAGATGTGGACGATCAACTCAAAAGGATATTTAAACTTTTAGGAACGCCTACAGAAGAAACATGGCCCAATATGACTACTCTTCCAGATTATAAACCAATGCCAATGTATCAGCCAAACATGACTCTTGGACAAGTAGATACATTTTTTTATTAAATTATTAAGCACTAAAATTTAAAACAATTATTTTGTATCATTAGATAGTACCAAAATCAACAGCCAAAATGCGAGACCTTTTACAAAGACTTCTGGTTTGTAATCCATCCCATAGAATATCATCGGAACAAGCAATGAGCCATATATACTTTGCAGATATTAAATAGTTATAAATAAATAGGTTTAATTTCAAAATCTTTAGTCATATTTAAGAAAAACTACAAAAAAAAAATATGATTAATAGTAAATATCTTATTTTTACTATTAAAATATTTAAAATTATTTGTTGTTAAAAATTGTTGTACTAAAAATCCATAGTACATTTTCTTTTATGGTATTAACGATTCCAAGAAAAACAAAAATTTTAATTTCCAATTGGTAAAAAAAAAAAAAAAAGACATGATGTTTTACTTTTCTCTATCGTTCCACTATCTATTATAACTACTATATGTCTCTAAGAAAATCCTTTATTTAGATACAAATTATTTTTATTGGTTTCCAGACTAATTAAAATTATTTTAACACATAAATTATCTATTCATAGTGTTTTTGTCATATGTCATTTATGAAATTCTAGTCTTCATTCTCTAACTTTACTTGTAATATATAAGCTTTTTAATACATTATATAATATTAAGTTTAAATTGACCTTATTGTAAAATACTAATTTATATACTTATATTTATTTTGTGCCTGTGTGTATATGTTCCTTAATAGATCTCCGTTTTATTAAAACATTTTTTTTCTTGTGATCTTGAAAATATTTCTTTAACAATTTTTGGATGCTGGTACGACGTACACTGTGCTTGAAACTGGAAGTTGGTGGAACACATAAAAAGATTAAAAAACTTTGCAAACATATAAAACATAAAGAAGATTATATGCAAATAATGGAGAGGTATAAAAAATAAAATCTCATTAATTATATAAAATATTAAAAATAAAATCGCTTTATTATAAAAAAGAAATAAATAATAAACAAATAAATACCTTCGTGTTTTTTCTATTACATATTATTAAATTATTAAATAAAATAGAAAAACACATGAATATTAGACATTTTTCAAAACATAAATATTATATTTAGAAAGATAATCATGAGTTACACAAATACAAAAACACACAATTTAAAAGTAAGTTATAACACAATTTTTTTTTTTTTTTTAATGTCAACTAACAGAAAAATATTAAACCAAACAAATATATTTTTGTCCATAATTAGTTTTAGAGTCTATACTAGGTGCTTATAATTGACATTTTAATGAAACTAGTCTTATTATTAACTTTACTTTTAATTTGTACATTAATTGTTTTTACATTAAAAAGTTAACTGATGCAGAAAAAAAATAAATGTGCGTTAGAAACAAAGCAACAAAATGTTAAATCTAATTAAGTTTCTAGAGAGCCTTAACACTTAAAACTTGGTCAAAAAAAGGAAATTAATATTTAAATGAAGATCTAATTTATAAAACTTAAGATAATTGTTATATAAATATAGCCAAAAATAAAGCTATGCTGTTTAATTTAATTTAATTTAAAAAATAGAATTTCACTCAAAGTTACCAGCCTGTATATACATTGTAATCAATTCTATTGGTATATTTTTTAATGAATTGTTTACCAGCACGTGTAGGTACTGTAAATGCAATTTCATCCACTGACAATATATGGCCATATGTATAGTTCTTCCTAGAATTTAAAATATAAACTATAATACATCTGAAAATCAAGTAAATTTTAATTTTAACAGGCATTACCTAAAACTGTCTAAAAGTTTGGACGCAATTCCATTTTGGCGACAATCCCACTTTGTCCATACACGATTAACTCCTACTTTAGCAGGATATGACTCTTCAGTAACTATTACCATATCTTCAGTTTCAGTCTCTAAATTACGGTAGGCTTGAGAAATCAGCTCCACCACTAAACAGCCAACCACTTGTTTATTCCTTATATAGAGATATACCTGAAATAATATTTCTGGTTAAAAAATATAAAAAAAATTTTAATTTATAAGACTGGTATACTTTTTTTGTAATTGGCAAAACAGTATTTTGTGAATTAAACCCGAGTTCTTGATCGACAAATGAAACTACCTCCAAGGCTTTAGCACACAACATTTTTGAATCTGAACCAGATATTACAATTATTCGTTCATCATCATCTTGATATACCACTTTTTCATTCTTAAAGCCCTAAAATATATTTATAAGATAAATATAAAGATAAGAGATCTTGGATCGCAATAAAATATAAGCGTAAATTAAATTTCATACATTGTACTTGAAAATGTTTTTAGCGGCATGATATTTATCATGTTCAGATTCATCTTCAGGTTCTCCTCTTGAGTAATAAAGTCCACACTCTTTGCATAAAAAGCCACCAAATTTCTTTTGACCAGCATCGATTTGGTATTGAGCTGCATCGACAATTCGTTTTACTCTACGAACAGTTGATTTCCCACTGGTAGGCAAACTGGCCAATAATTTAAATTAATAAAATGAAAAAAATTCCTAAATAAAAAGTGTGTACTCACCTAGTGTAACGATTGGGTGAAGGTGTTTTAGTTGTAAAAATAGAAAATAATTTTGTTTGAGGCGATATATTTTCATTAACAATGCTGTTATTAATATTGCTTTGTGATTCATTCATAGACTCATCCTCAGTTTTAATTAAGTTTGAAATACTAAATAATACATTGAATACAAATATTTGTATGCTACTTGACTGACATTTTTTAGTTACTTAATAACTTGATTCCACTTACTCTTTTAGTTTAATTGTCGATGGAGTGTACTTTGAAAATGGGTTTTCTTGTACTTCTTGACTTTCGTCAAAACTGTAAGCATCTTTTATTAAATCAGGCATTTCACATTTTAGAACATGATTTTGAGTTTCTTCATCAGTTTTTATACGTTTATTACTTGTTTTAAAACATTCACTTGCATCTATAAATATAAATGAGTAATAAAATAACATTTTAAGTTAAAAAGTAGTTCACACTAGATAGATTAAAAAAACATAAAATTATGAATATTAATTAAAATTTAAAATAGTGTAGGCTGGAAACCCCATTTTTAGTCACCCTTAATAAATTTTACAAATATTGTTCTACTGACAATCATCAAATAGATCAGAAAATAAAGTTACAAGGAAAGAAACAAAGTGTAAAAATACCTATTACTGTATTAAATTGTTAAGTTGTTACACGTAATATAAACTGAAAAGTTAAATTTTAAAATTTTGAATTCCCAATCTACGGTGTTATCTTTTTTTAGTAAGTAACTCAATAAAATTATTGCTCTATGTATTACCAAATGATAAATTATACTAATTACAGATACAACAAAATCATGTGTCCATAGCAGGGAATCTAGCCATAAGCAGGGTCTCCACCCTATGTTATTATTGTTTTTTGAACATAAAAAATAATCGTTTGTATAAAACTTTTAGGCTGTACAGAATATACAAGCAATTTAATTTAGAATTATTTTACCATATTCTTCAGGTTCCCTTTTCAAAGAATTTAATGTTAGACCAGGATATCGAATAGCTGTTGGCTGACTGTCTTCTTCTTCGTCGTCCAATAACTCTATCAGGTCAGATACTTCTTGACCAATTTGCTCTATAGCATCATCATCAAGTATATCTACTTTATCAAAGTCTGGCTGCTCGTTTTTAATAATAGTACTCATTTTATTTTCATCTCCCCAGTTAACAACTTTGTAATTAAAGCTGTTTTCTTTTCTAAAAACACAAACAGTTTTAATACAATATTCTGAGGAAATATTTAAAAAAACTAACCTAGAGGGTGTATCACTTTGAATCACAGTAGATTTGAAAAATTTTCGGCTTTCAGGTTGCTCAATGGTCATGCGCTCAGGTTTTTCAGATTTCATACATTCAGCCCAAACATCTTTTTTTAATGAACTAGGCTTTGGAAACTCAAAATTTTTTTTCTTTAACTCAATATCACTCTCTTCTTCTGTATTTACTTTTTCTTCCTTTACTTCAGTTTTGATGAAAAGCTTTTTTGGAATAGTTTTTTTTTTAAATGGTAGCATAATCCCTGGAAATAAATCAGTTTTTGGAGCGGTACAAGATTTCTTTGATTTACGTTCATGGCTCGATGATCTGGGTCTTTTTTTACTCGTAGATTTACTGTCATTGAATAACTTTGCTTTAACTTTTGGATTGCTATGTAATCTGTTAAATCTTTTGAGACGCAAATCTTCCAATGATATCTATAAATATTATACACAATAATCAATTAAGTTACATTAATAATTACAGTGAAACGAGCAGTAGTCTATTATAAATGATATAATGATACAACAAAACCAGTTTATATATAGTCAATATTGGGTCAACAATTTTAATTAAACACATATGTAACAAGTATTAAAAAAAATGTTTTGTTTAATATGATAAACAGAAAAAATAAAATGGATCTCGTATATGTCCAGATATATATATATATATATATATGTAATATATATATCCAGATTTAAAAACTAATTTTGAGATGGATTTTTTATAAGAATACTAGGTGTGTACTGAGGTGTATATAAGTGATATTTTAATAATAATATAATAATAATAAGAGTAATTCATTAAAAAAAAAATATATATATATATATAATTATCCTTTCAATATTTTTTAAATGAATTACTCTTATTATTATATTATTATTAAAATATAACTTATATACAACTCAGTACACACCTAGTATTCTTATAAACAATCCATCTAAAAATTAGTTTTTAAATCTGGAATTAAAAATATTGGTCTCACCTGGTTACCACCGTAAAATGATGTAGTTCTAACGCCTATATCAATCTTAAAGCTGTTAATTTTACTTAGACTAAACCCTTTTTTTGATGGGGTTTTAGCCTCTTTATTAGTTTCCGATTCAAACGGCGTTTTGTTCATTTGTTTGAAACATCTAGAATGTGGAGTTTCTTCAATAATCATTGTGGCTGAATCTAGACTACCCGTTTTTGGATCGGACATTAGTCTTTCAAATTTGTCACTCATAGTTGGACTTAGTTCAGTAATGGGTGTGTGATTCATATTTATAGGGCTTTCGGGTGATGCGAGTCCAGTATCATACGCTTCGGGAGAGGACTGTAACGGAGCAATATCATGACTGTCTTCATCCCAATTATCAACCGGAAATAGTTCTCGTTTACGGTTTGATAAAAATGGAGATGGTGCATTATTCCGTAAGCGAAGTGATTTACGTGGTGTTGTGTAAGTTGTCATTTTCTAATCTGAAAGATACAATACAATTAGAAATCCATGGCTATTATATAATTACACCCAATGCCTTGATATACAAATTTAATACACAAACTGTTTAGGGCAGTTGTTAAAATAATTATTTTAAAAAAATGTATTGAGTAAAAGAAATGTATCAATTTGGCATTACCATCAATACTAATATTATTAGCCTAAGCACTCCAACGAAAAAGATATTACAATACGCCAATTCCGTTAAAAAAAGTCTAAAAGTAAATCCACACAATTAAATGAATGCGGAGCGCTCACCATTTAAGAATAATCATCAGATACAAAACACGGAAGTCACTATATAACAGACACAAACTCACTTCAAAAAGGCAATGTTGTAAGCAAGCCGCAAAAGCCAGTTGCCAGTAGGCAAATTGCGTTTGCGATTCACAGCTCTAGCGAATGTAGCATGATGCGTGTGTACTTTGTATTATTTGGAGGGAAAGCCGCTAAAATCAATGAAGCCATTTCAAGGGATTTCCGTTCGCCGCATGGAGCTCATAATTTGATTCGCCGTTACGTTATCACATCGATTTGAAATTTTAACCGTGATTGTGAATCGTGATAACATAATCACATTAAAGCATTAACAATGATAATGATAATAATGATTGAATGTCAAGCGACAAGCTGAAGTCTGAACTAAAATCAACTGCATGGCGCATAGACAAATATGCATAATTTAGAATAGCTGTGTATAATAATAATAATATTGTTTACTTAAGTAGTTGTGATAACTAAATATTGGAGATATTTCGTAGATACTTTAAAATTCTGTGCCATGTAGTACATGTTTATTGAATTCTTGTCGGAGTCATAAAATTATTACGCAGTCGTAATTTTAAGTGTAAGACTAGTTATTGCCTAAACCGTTCTACTTTTTTTGCAGTGGACACTTAGCTTTAAAATTTTGAAAACGTATAGAAGTCAACATTATAATATATGATATTATATCATCGGGTTTTTGTTGGAAACTAACAGCTTCATTTTTATTACTTGTTTTAAATTTATTTTTTTCTGTTTACTACAAATAATAAAAACTTATTTAATTAAAGTATCACAAAGAAGATTACGTACGTCCTTCGTACAACATTGTTTTTTAAGGCGATGGCCGATAACCACTATAACGGTATACAGTGTACACTGTACACAAGCAAAATATGATTGTCCATAGTTAACCAGAAATGTCAAAGAAAAATGATGAAAAACTTTAGAAACCGAGGCCATAATATTCTAAAAACAAATAATTACCCACAAAAACTCCTCATTACTGTATTAAAAGTATGTTTTATTTTTTAATTCAGAATTTGCCTATACCAAACCCCTTAATAAATCGAAACATTAGGCAGGTGGCGCGTCTCAATATGAAAATCTAAAATATATTGTTAATCATCCGTAAGTTGTAACATATATGAGCTTAATAACAGCGTATCGTACTTTTTAATATAATGGAAATTCTGCTTGGATTAACATATGCTGCCTCTTAATTCCTATAAAGTTTTTAATTTGATATTGTGTAAATAAATTCATAAATTTAGGTAAATTATTATTTAGGCCGATGATTTAAGTAGTCGAAGCTTTTATAAATAAATGTTTTAAACATTTTATTTTTTATAATCGACCAAATTTAGTTTAGATAATATTGTTTCACACCTACAAAACCGGTGGGAATAAATATCCTGTACTTGCAATATTGTAATTATTTAATTACACAATTTTATAACTGTTATTAATTTATGCCACAGAAATCGGAATATAATATTTTATTAATATATCTTACATAAATCTAAAATTAGTTAATACATTTTAAAACAATATATCTTATTACCTTAATAAAGCCTAATAAGTTATTTACTTATAATCCTAATAAGAATACATTTTCAAGTATATATATTATATATATATATAATTATTTAAATTTTAAATTTATTAATCAACCAATACAAAGCGGTCAGTTGGCGTAAACGTGTTTGTTTGCCAGTCAATCTAATGTTATAAATGGTATTTGATAAAATTAATAAAACTCTAAAAACTGTTCAAGTGTTTTAGTGAAAAAACATGTTTTTTTGTTTTAATTGGGCTATCATATTCACACACACACACACACACGCGTATGCATACACAAATACACACTGCTTACTTTCATAGACAGTTTATAAAGACCAACGACCCTCAGCACTACAAATAGACTCGTGTGTCTCGGCAGTCGGCTTCGCAGACTTATTAATTTTAACCGACAGATATCTTCTTGGTACACGAACTAGTGTTCCAGTCTTTCGGTCTGACATCCTCCGCCTGCTATCCTCAGCTCACCGCCAAAGCTGCACAGTTGTCTTATTTTTTCATGCATAATATTAAAATTTGTTGTCAAAAGTTGTTTAGTCAATTTATTAAATGCGCAACACCATTACTATACGAGTAAAACATTTGTATGCGTTCTCTGGCGAAATGAGACACGAAAAAATATCTTTGTGTGTATTTAGTATTTAAAAACGTGGGATATTTATATATATATTTGTGTACGATAATTGTATGTATAGATTAAGACAGCGTATCTGTTCTATATTTTTTTTTTATCGTGTAAAACATTTACATTTTGGACTACATTTTCTAAGAATATATTTTTTTTTTAGAATTAGGTAACCTAAATGTTTATTTTTTTTTATTGTAGTAGGGATGTATTCATGTATGAAGTCTGGTAAATCATACAAAATAATAAACTTATGCTGTTCAGTCTACAGTGAAACAATAGTGTACAATTCATTTTTTTAAAAACCGATACTCATCCGCCGAGTCATCCGTCACGAAAACAAATTCGTCAAGAAACCATTTCATGCTGACAGCGTTGGGCATTCAAATTTCAAGGTCTATGCTACATGTTGGTGTCTTAAAAGAAAAATTGTTTGCTATTTATGACATTATTAACGAATGACAGTGGCCTATTAAAATTTAATAGATAACTTATAAATATGTATCACTGTGCTGTAGCACTTGTATAAATCAATAATAATAATATTAATAATATGGTGATTTTTAAGAGAAATGTGTGAAGGATGGAAAAATTATTGCTTTTAAATTTTATTTACAATACTTAGTTAACTGTAGGAAATTAAAATGATAAAATTTGCAATATCATATTTATCAGTTTTTATTTTTTAAATAATTTACATACATAATACCCTATACATTTCAATTAGCTAAATTTATAATTTAATTTCTGAATACCGACCATTATGTTACTATCTTTATGGACTAGTAAAATAAACATTAAAGTAATTTCTACATCGAGTGTTAGCCTAATGATTTTATTTACCAAATTCTTAGATATAAGTGATCTATAACTTTAGTTAATATTTAATTTTATTACGACTCATTTTGTGAAAAAACATTTTTTTTTACATTATACACAGTAATCTTTTAATTTTTAAGGAATATGCGTACGTCATTAAATTATCATAAATGACATAATATAGGTACCTATAATACAGGTACCTAATATTATAATAATACATATTTGACATGCTATGCTAACGAACATGCTGTATAAAAAAACAGTTTTTGCTCAATAATAATTACCATACGACGTAATCGGTTAGGTTAGGTTAGGTAATAACACAAATTATTAGAGTATAGACACTATATTTTAATAATATTATTATATTGTATTGTTCACTGTTTGTTAATACATAATTATTGTCAATACTCGATTTACATCCGAAGTAGGTAGGTAGTAAAATATGTAAATGCATTAAATATATATTATTCGTGGTTTAAGAAAAGAGGTATTTAAGTAATACAAAATAATTAGATACTAAATTAATAATTATTTATACAAGTAAAAAAAAGCATTCAAGGTCTTTACTCTAATTTGAATTAAAAAATATTACCATAACTCGTGGTAACAAACATGATAAAAGAAAATTAAGTAAATAATAATTTTAGAAGAGACAATATAACTCTAAAAACCCTTTAAGCTGTGTGTTTTTCATTCGCTCTTGGAGACGTTACAGTAATAACCAATTTGTAAATGAACCTCATATTTTATTTATGAAGATCCTTTCAAAGAAGAAATAACTTTTTAATTTGCGTTTTAAGGTCATTTCAGAGCTCTGATCGAAGAGCGGTTTGGCGCCGGCATAGTCGCCGACAAACCTAACGTGGTTGTATCAACGTCCGTTTTTTATTTTTTAAGACATTTTTTTTTTATCATTTAACAACCCAAGTGCAACAGTCGGAGAAAAACAATAAAATAATATATACAACATATTTAACGAAATGAATAGGGCACAATAACATGTGCCTATGGTTTATTATTGTACCTATAGGTAGAGATTCTACCTACGTTCTTCTATATAGATATTAAATAATATAATCATATTACATGTATGCAACGGACTTCTGTTGGCCGTCTGGCGCCGGCGCCACACGATACGCCGTTCAAGTACGTATATACTATAATATTATATATATATATACATACACATTATCTATATACCTAAGTATAACAATATTGTTATACCCGTCATACACAACCTATATAATGTGCATGCGCGCGCGATGATACGCTGCTGGTACATCTTTCAACTTCTTACTTACGTACGGACACATTATATGAACACAATATGAGTTGTGGACTATCGCGGACAAGCGCGGCGTCGGTTAATGGTTATTAATTAAATAGTAAATGTGGTGAAATATAATAATAAAAAATAAAAATAAAAACGGTCGAGAAAAGATAATAATGCGACGCGCGATTGTATGTGTAAATGAAATAATAAAAGAAAACAATAAATGATAAATAGGCGTGCGTCTCGAATAATCGAGAGCCTCGTCGATCGAATTGCCCGATAATGCCGACCAGAGCGAATAATAAAAATAAAAACGACAGAGCAACGGCGACGTCTGTTCGTCGTTGTCTATAAAAATAGTGGCAATAGTAATAATAATAATAATAATAATAATAATAATATATGATGATGATGATGATGATGACGGCTCGTTCTGCGGTAGACGGATTAACACGACGACGTATAGGGTTGGCTCCGGCGTTCTTGGAGTCCACCATCGTTTACCGCCGCGCCGTGCCAGCCGTAATTGTGCGTGTTTGCCGCAGCCCGTAGCGGTCGGCGACAGCGTGACGGGAACGTTAAGATTATGAAAGCGAAGGTAAATAATTAGTAAGGGAATACACTTACTGGGTCGGCGGCGTTGGAAATCTGATTTTTTTCTGACTGGCAGCAGACTGGCGTGTGCCGGCGGATCTCGCCGCGCCGTCCGATAATTGACTCTAGATCACAAGGTGTGTACATAGTGTATACACAGTATACTACAGTATTTATGTTATACTTGTATTTGTATGTTATAAATTATATGGGTACGGAGAGACGGGTCGCGAATCAGGGACCCTGTCTAAAAGGTTTTACGTCGCCGT